TGTTATACAGACCATAATACACAGTGTTATACAGACCATAATACACAGTGTTATACAGACCATAATACACAGTGTTATACAGACCATACAGGCCATAATACACAGTGTTATACAGACCATAATACACAGTGTTATACAGACCATAATACACAGTGTTATACAGACCATACAGGCCATAATACACAGTGTTATACAGACCATAATACACAGTGTTATACAGACCATAATACACAGTGTTATACAGACCATAATATACAGTGTTATACAGACCATACAGGCCATAATACACAGTGTTATACAGACCATAATACACAGTGTTATACAGACCATAATACACAGTGTTATACAGACCATATATCATCATTACTATTATTATATATATCATTACTATTATTATAAATACACACTATTATTATTTATTACATTACAGATTTTATTTGTATACTCCTGGACATAATTACTGCACTTTATTCCTTATTCCTTTATTCCTTATTCCTAAGTATGTATGCTGCGTGTATTTTGTTGTCTTATGTTGTGATGTTTTTGTTTTTGTTTTGATGGCACCCTTGAAAGGGAGAAGCATTTATTATTATCTCATTGTACATGTATAATGACATTAAACGATTCTATTCTATTCTATTCTAATACACAGTGTTCTTACCGGGAGCCGGGGTGCAGCGAGGTCGTCTGGTGGTCGTCGTCGGGAACGGTGTTGACGCAGCGACTGTCCGCTCTGATTGTTCCAGGCCTCAGCACGGTCATCAGGACCTCTTCCCATTGGTCAGGCAGCTGTACACACACACACACACACACACACACACACACACACACACCCACACACACACACACACACACACACCACACACACACACACACACAAAAAACACACACAGAAACACACACACAAAGAAATGTTACCCTCCTGCACAGTTATGCATCTATACCTGCCTGTAAAGGGCCAAATCACATGTTAATCACATGAGAGTGTTCTGCAGGTGGGCGGAGTCATACCTGCGGCTCGTAGCGAATCAGGACGTCGTACTCCATTGAGTGGGGGATGTTGTCCACGGTGAACTCCAGGTATGCTCCCTCTGGGACGTTCACCAGGCCCACACCTGTCCAGGTGGGACTGCGGTCCAGAGGGTGGGGCCGAGGAACCACAGACACACCCTGAGGAACCAGAGAGATGGTGGTGAAACAGGGAAACATGAGGCCCTGAGGAACCTCAGAGGAGAGATGGCGGTGACACAGGGAAACAAGAGGGGTCCCAACACAGAGCCCTGAGGAACCTCAGAGGAGAGATGGCGGTGACACAGGGAAACATGAGGGGTCCCAACACATAGCCCTGAGGAACCTCAGAGGAGAGATGGCGGTGACACAGGGAAACAAGAGGGGTCCCAACACGGAGCCCTGAGGAACATCACAAGACATCTGAACTGTAAAGTGTTTTAGAAAGCAGCTGAGAGATTTAAAGGTCTCTATTTTCAAGCATATATTATAGGTCTCAGATATATACAAATATATAAAAACATGTCTCTGAAGTGTCCTGCTCCAAACCCCAAACAGATCCTTGTAGCCCCCCCCCCCTCTCTCTTCCAGCTGTTACTAAGGACATGTCTCTGAAGTGTCCTGCTCCAAACCCCAACAGATCCTTGTAGCCCCCCCCCTCTCTCCCAGCTGTTACTAAGGACATGTCTCTGAAGTGTCCTGCTCCTAACCCCCAACAAATCCTTGTAGCCCCCCCCCCTCTCTTCCAGCTGTTACTAAGGACATGTCTCTGAAGTGTCCTGCTCCAAACCCCCAACAGATCCTTGTAGCCCCCCCCTCTCTCTTCCAGCTGTTACTAAGGACATGTCTCTGAAGTGTCCTGCTCCAAACCCCCAACAGATCCTTGTAGCCCCCCCCCCTCTCTCCCAGCTGTTACTAAGGACATGTCTCTGAAGTGTCCTGCTCCTAACCCCAAACAAATCCTTGTAGCCCCCCCCTCTCTTCCAGCTGTTACTAAGGACATGTCTCTGAAGTGTCCTGCTCCTAACCCAAAACAAATCCTTGTAGCCCCCCCCCCCCCCCTCTCTCTTCCAGCTGTTACTAAGGACATGTCTCTGAAGTGTCCTGCTCCTAACCCAAACAGATCCTTGTAGCCCCCCCCCTCTCTTCCAGCTGTTACTAAGGACATGTCTCTGAAGTGTCCTGCTCCTAAACCCCAAACAGATCCTTGTAGCCCCCCCCCCTCTCTTCCAGCTGTTACTAAGGACATGTCTCTGAAGTGTCCTGCTCCAAACCCCAAACAAGTCCTTGTAGCCCCCCCCTCTCTTCCAGCTGTTACTAAGGACATGTCTCTGAAGTGTCCTGCTCCAAACCCCAAACAGATCCTTGTAGCCCCCCCCCTCTCTTCCAGCTGTTACTAAGGACATGTCTCTGAAGTGTCCTGCTCCAAACCCCAAACAGGTCCTTGTAGCCCCCCCCCTCTCTTCCAGCTGTTACTAAGGACATGTCTCTGAAGTGTTCCTGCTCCAAACCCCAAACAGATCCTTGTAGCCCCCCCCCCTCTCTTCCAGCTGTTACTAAGGACATGTCTCTGAAGTGTCCATGCTCCAAACCCCAAACAGGTCCTTGTAGCCCCCCCCCTCTCTTCCAGCTGTTACTAAGGACATGTCTCTGAAGTGTCCTGCTCCAAACCCCAATCAGATCCTTGTAGCCCCGCCCCCCTCTCTTCCAGCTGTTACTAAGGACATGTCTCTGAAGTGTCCTGCTCCAAACCCCAAACAGATCCTTGTAGCCCCCCCCCTCTCTTCCAGCTGTTACTAAGGACATGTCTCTGAAGTGTCCTGCTCCAAACCCCAAACAGGTCCTTGTAGCCCCCCCCTCTCTTCCAGCTGTTACTAAGGACATGTCTCTGAAGTGTCCTGCTCCAAACCCCAAACAGGTCCTTGTAGCCCCCCCCTCTCTTCCAGCTGTTACTAAGGACATGTCTCTGAAGTGTCCTGCTCCAAACCCCAAACAGATCCTTGTAGCCCCCCCCCCTCTCTTCCAGCTGTTACTAAGGACATGTCTCTGAAGTGTCCTGCTCCAAACCCCAAACAGGTCCTTGTAGCCCCCCCCTCTCTTCCAGCTGTTACTAAGGACATGTCTCTGAAGTGTCCTGCTCCAAACCCCAAACAGATCCGTGTAGCCCCCCCCCCCTCTCTTCCAGCTGTTACTAAGGACATGTCTCTGAAGTGTCCTGCTCCAAACCCCAAACAGGTCCTTGTAGCCCCCCCCCTCTCTTCCAGCTGTTACTAAGGACATGTCTCTGAAGTGTCCCGCTCCAAACCCCAAACAGATCCTTGTAGCCCCCCCCCCCCCCTCTCTTCCAGCTGTTACTAAGGACATGTCTCTGAAGTGTCCTGCTCCAAACCCCAAACAGGTCCTTGTAGCCCCCCCCCTCTCTTCCAGCTGTTACTAGGGACATGTCTCTGAAGTGTCCGCTCCAAACCCCAAACAGATCCTTGTAGCCCCCCCCCCCCCCCTCTCTTCCAGCTGTTACTAAGGACAAGTCTCTGAAGTGTCCTGCTCCAAACCCCAAACAGATTCTTGTAGCCCCCCCCCCCCTCTCTTCCAGCTGTTACTAAGGACATGTCTCTGAAGTGTCCTGCTCCAAACCCCAAACAGGTCCTTGTAGCCCCCCCCTCTCTTCCAGCTGTTACTAAGGACATGTCTCTGAAGTGTCCTGCTCCAAACCCCAAACAGATCCGTTGTAGCCCCCCCCCCCTCTCTTCCAGCTGTTACTAAGGACATGTCTCTGAAGTGTCCTGCTCCAAACCCCAAACAGGTCCTTGTAGCCCCCCCCTCTCTTCCAGCTGTTACTAAGGACATGTCTCTGAAGTGTCCTGCTCCAAACCCCAAACATATCCTTGTAGCCCCCCCCCCTCTCTTCCAGCTGTTACTAAGGTCATGTCTCTGGAGTGTCCTGCTCCAAACCCCAAACAGGTCCTTGTAGCCCCCCCCCCCTCTCCTCCAGCTGTTCCTAAAGAGCTGACTCTGGGTCAGTAGCTTCAGAGAGAGAGTAGATCTCATCAGGAGAACTCTCCCAGCAGAAACTCAGCTAAATGCTGCCGTGATGAAACTCCATATCCTGTTCCAAACCACATCAAGGATTCTCTCTGAAACAGGATGGAGCTCAAACTCTTTCTCTCTCTCAGGTTTACCACAAGGTGACTTCCTTTTGATTTCCTGCTTCTTCACACACACTCTCTCCAGTACAGGTTAGCTCTGAGTGTTAGCATGCTAATGTAAACACAGACCATATTACTTCCAGAACACGTCTCATTTTTTCAGCAACCTTTCTGATTGGCCCGTGGGGGTAAAGCCCGCCCACATTTTAGTAATGTCGTCATGACGCAGCAAATTTGGATTAGCTCCGTTGTTCCCCGTTTTTAGAGATGTTGGTACGGAGGAGAAGAGAGAGGGGTTTATTTCCTGACACACCGGGGACACACGGGGGACACACCGGGGACACACGGGGACACATGCTGATGTCACTCCACAGAAACTGCTCTCATTGCTGTCACGGAGGAACTGCACACTGCCAAAACTGCATCCCTCTCCTCTGTCATCATCCTGTTGGACCTGTCTGCTGCATTCGACACGGTGAATCATCAGATCCTCCTTCGCACTCTCCAAAAACTTGGAGTTTCAGGCTCTGCACTTTCCCTCCTCACCTCATACCTGAAAGACCGTACCTACAGGGTGACTTGGAGAGGGTCTGAGTCCGACCCTTGTCAATTAACTACGGGGGTCCCTCAGGGCTCTGTTCTTGGTCCCCTCCTCTTCTCCTTGTACACAAACTCGCTCGGATCAGTCATTAGCCCGCATGGTTTTTCTTACCACTGCTACGCTGACGACACCCAATTAATTCTGTCCTTTCCCCGCTCAGAGACCCAGGTCGTCGCACGCATCTCTGCTTGTCTAGCTGACATCTCTCAGTGGATGTCTGCTCACCACCTCAAGCTCAACCTTGACAAGACTGAGCTGCTCTTCCTCCCGGGAAAAGATTGTCCAACTCTTGACCTGACAATCAACATCGGCACCTCAGTTGTTTCCCCGACTCAGACTGCAAGGAATCTGGGTGTGACCCTAGATAACAACCTGTCCTTCACTGCAAACATCGCTGCTACAACCCGCTGCTGCAGATACACGCTTTACAACATCAGGAAGATACGTCCCCAGCTGACTCAGAAAGCGACTCAGGTTCTGGTCCAGGCTCTCGTCATCTCACGCCTAGACTACTGCAACTCCCTCCTGGCTGGTCTACCTGCATGTGCCATCCGACCTCTGCAGCTCATCCAGAATGCAGCGGCTCGTCTGGTTTTCAACCTTCCTAAATGTTCCCACACCACTCCGCTCCTCCGCTCCCTTCACTGGCTTCCGGTAACTGCTAGAATCCACTTCAAGACACTGGTACTTGCTTACCGTGCTGCGAATGGATCTGGCCCTTCCTACATCCAGGACATGGTTAAACCGTACACCCCAGCGCGTGCACTACGCTCTGCATCAGCCAAACGACTCGTTGCGCCCTCGCTGCGAGGGGGGACCCAAGTTCCCATCGGCGAAAACACGTGGGTTTGCTATCCTGGCTCCAAGATGGTGGAATGAGCTCCCCATTGACATCAGGACGGCAGATAGCTTGCACATCTTCCGGCGCAAACTGAAAACTCATCTCTTTCGACTCCACTTCGAGCGTTTAGAACGATTAACGAAAGCACTTTTATACTAATAAAGGACTGGCTTACCTAAAGCCAGTTGAGTAGCACTTGAAATGTTTGGCTCTATGAAACCTGATATACTTATATGATTCTGTTTTCTTCAAGGTTGTGTCTTCCTGGTCGAATGTACTTATTGTAAGTCGCTTTGGATAAAAGCGTCAGCTAAATGCAATGTAATGTAATGTAATGTAATGTAATGT